TCAGTGAATACATCCTCGATTTTCATGCTCCCCGGATACTTTTTTGAAAATTTCGAATTTTTCAAATTTCAGTGAGTACCTCCTCGATTTTCATGTTCTCCTGATACTTTTTCAAAAATTTAGAATTTTCAGATTTCAGTGAATACATCCTCCATTTTCATGCTCCCCTGATACTTTTTCAAAAATTTCGAATTTTTCCATTTCAGTGAATGCCTCCTCGATGTCCATGCTCCCCTGATACTTCTTTGAAAATTTTGAATTTTCAAATTTTAGTGAATACCTCCTCAATTTTCATGTTCCCCCGATACTTTTTCAAAAATTTCGAATTTTCACATTTCAGTGAATACTTCCTCAATTGTCATGCTCTCCTGATACTTTTACATCAGAATATTCAACATGATTACATACGTTTACATCAGAATATTCAACATGATTTCTTTTATTCGTTTATACCTCTCCATCTGCATCAATACTGTACATGTACATATGACAAAAATTGAATTTTTATTTCGGATGCCTTCGCACTGGTTCTCCAGCATTCATGTAAAGAAAGATTGGATATTCCGAGATTTTTTGCTGGGCGGGGGAGTTTCAATACTGAGTTTTCGTTTAATGCCTGGATATTGTGAATGTGATAATTCATGATTACCCCCCGTCGAATTTCCCGAATCTCTCTGGGTAGAATGATTAATCATTCTTTGTAGATTTTCCGCAACATGAAAATCACAGTGCTCTTGAAATTTACTGGCAATTATCATTTGACTGCACTCAGGACACTGCTTCTTTGAAGACACGTCACTGAAGTTCGATGAGTTGTTGACAAAGAAATTCATAATGATTCCATTTTTATGAGAGACTTTCGTGGAACTCCCCTTGGATTTGGTTGCTTTATTTTTTGTGATAATTTTTGTCTCTTTTTTATTACTACTGCTTGGTAAACTTGAAATTTTCGACGATTTTAGGTAATTATTTGCTGCTCGTTGAAGTTCAATGGGTAACAACTGTAATACTGAGGTATCAATATTATCTAAGTCAGGGAAAATCTCTTTGAGTTGGGCCACAGCATCATCTTCCTCCTTTGAGTTGATTTTCTCCTCTTCCTGCTCTTCATAATTCTTCATATCGCTTGTAGATGGATTCTCTTCAGGTTCACAATCATCGAATAAATCTGGAGATTTAATTTCACTCTCATCTGAATTTGACTTTAGTATTTCTACACTGATAAGTTTTTTAGTATTTTGGTAGTCAAGAGATGATCCATCAAAACTGAAAGCGGGTGCTGGCGATTCCGAGTCTTTTAGGGCATTCATAAAAAATGAATTTTTGAAATTATCGTCGTCCAAGGTCTTAGGTATATCTAAACTTAACTGGAGATTAGACTTTTGATCCATCACCTGAGGGATTGTAATATTAATATCATTAGTCTCCTGTTTAGAGATGAAGAAGTTGTTCAAGTTGTTTTTCTGTTCTTCTTTATGATGAACAATCTTCTTTTTCCTAGCGTAAGTTTTTAGACTCGCTTGATAAGGATTCACCTTTGCGTTGGAAGAATTATCTTCAATCTGTTGGAGATCAGAGCCCTTTACCACTATTTTAGACTTAATAAGTTCAGATGGATCTTCGATTGACTTGACTTTTAATTCATTGAGTTTACTTCCCCCATTGTTGAAGAAATTAACAAAATTTCCACTGCCTCTAGCAGCAACAAATTTTCCGGCTGACATTCCAATAAAAGCAACGGGCTTTTGCGTCGCTTTGGTAATAATATCAACGCATAAATTAGCAATCCTATCAATTTTATACGAAGTCAATGGACAACTTTTTGACTGTGAAATAATCTTCTTATCCTGATACCAGTGATAACTTAGTGATAAGTGTGTAGCACGCCTTTCATTCTCCTCCATATCCTGCTCCAATCGTTCGACCATCTCCTCAGTGAGAGAAACAACCCATTTCTTCAGATCCTCCAGCTTTGTGATGGCTGCTTTTCCAGGGAAATTCTTACTAGAGCCAATGGATTTACAGATGAGTTTGTTGGTAACTGTTTCATTATCAATACCTCTGGCAATATTGTATAACCATGAGCCAGTTTTATCACCGAAACGTTTTTGAAGATCTTGTAGAGAGTACCTTAGAAGATCGGCCATGACGTTGCACCCAAGAGATTCCACCACAATATTCCCGAATTTTCCTCCTAAATTTCTAACTTTCTTCACAGGAAGGGAATGATAAAGTCCAGGAACAGCAGCTGCGGGCAAAATTGTCTGTCTATTCGGCTTGTGAAGACCACAGGCTAGTTTAGCTAAGATCTTATTGTATGAAATACCAGCTGAACATCGATACTGACACTGAGACCAAATCTCACCCCTGAATTCCTCAACTAGCATTCCAGCAATTGCTAATTTTTTCGATTGAACATCTCCCAGATCTCCAAAGACTTCACTCATCCATGTTTCAATGCCGTTTTTTCTCTTCTCTTCATCATTACTATTATCATCGCAATATCCAACGACGAAAGTGTTGGACAAGGCCTCGACAATATTCACTTGGGATGGGTCAATTGAATTCATTCGTTCTTCAACGAGACTCGTAATGTCTAAGTAAGCCTCATCGATACTAGCTCTTTCAATTATTGCAGATTTTTTTTTCAATACCTCAATGACTTCTCTGCCTGCTGATCTGTACCTGCCGGTGTCTGGTTTATTTCTGAGTGGCGGAACGGTTACCAAAATTATATCTGGACACTTCTCCTTGGCCTCGGCTCCCTTCATATGACGAGTCACCCCAAAATTTCTCGCTTCGTAGTTGACAGCTATTATTGAGCTAGGACCAAAGCTCCCGTACTGAACAACAGCCAGAGGTTTTCCTTTCAGCTCCGGCTGCAATTTTGCTTCCACTTGACAAAAGAAACAGTCCATGTCGATGAGGACTACTATTCTATCACCGAGATTCGTCATTTTATGACGTTTTACCTTCTATGATTTTTTTGTGTCTCAAACACTGGATGGATTCTCTGTTGCACAAGTTTAATGTTTTTCGATATAATTTATAAATCATTAATGTTCTTTCCCATTATATGACGTACAAGAGCTATTTTACCGTGTTGTTATTGTTGTATGTTCCGATATGTTCTATATATATATACGTTCTATATATTTTACGATTCTTTGGGGCGATTTTAGAGGAGAGACTTCAACAAAATGTCTCATAACGGTGGCGTGTGAACTAATGTTAGTGTGGTCGATGTCAGCGGCATCGTAGTACTGCACCCCAAGGGAGAGAAGGCGCTACACACAATACTGGGGTGTCTGCCTGTCAGCCGACTCGGTAACTGCCTCAGTAGCAGTCCTGCTGTCATTTGGGAAAAAGTATCAGGAGAACATGACAATTGAGGAGGTATTCACAAAAATTTGAAAATTCGAAATTTTTGAAAAAGTATCAGGGAACATGAAAATGAAGGAGGTATTCACTGAAATTTAAAAATTCGAAATTTTCGAAAAAGTATCAGGGGAACATGGAAATCGAGGAGGTATTCACTGAAATCTGAAAATTCAAAATTTTTATAAAAGTATCAGGGGAACAGGAAAATCGAGGCGGTATTCACTGACATTTGAGAATTCAATGTTTTTAGAAAAGTATCAGGGGAGCATGACAATCGAGGAGGTATTCACAGGAATTGAAAAATTCGATTTTTTCAAAAATGTATCAAGGGAGCGTGTGGCGTCCTCTCTCCCTTGAGGTGAGGTGCTACGATGCCGATTGGGTCACTCAAATCCTCAGAACTGAGCCTCTACATTAGTCAATCCTCTCTGTCACAATCTAGCCTCGAAATTCAACTTTCAACTGTTTTTCAATAATAGTAGCAGCCTAGTCAAGGTTTTGTGAAGACGAATTACTGGGAAATTATCTCTGGATTTCACATTCCAGCTCGACGAATATTCGTGATAATCGATAGAAATACCAAAATAGATAATGCAAGAATGAAGAAAAAGAAATTCTAGACTGCGCCAGGCATAACTCGTAAGTGTAAGACAAACTTAGTAAAGACACGTGGTCTATCACCGAATGCAAAAATTGAGCCCTCAGTAAACTAGCGTCTCTAATTTTTCAGAAGAGCATCATTTTTACGTATCAGCAAATAAAGAAAGGGCCAGCTGAATGTTATCCAAAATGTTGTCACCTGAAATGGCGAGATCTTCCGCCGATACTGCAAAAAGAACAGAAAAAAATGAAATTTTAGAATCAAAGGAAAATAAAGGCGAATCAGAAAAAGGCAAGCATGATACAAAGAAAAATAAATCGTCGTCTAGGACTGCCAATCCCAATTGGCAGACCTACAAAGATATTGTCAATACATCTACGACACAAAAATCACCTTCTAAACGGCAATCAACAAACTCTGACTCATCCTATAGAGGCAAGAGGTCGGCTAAACGGAAAAATACTTCACAATCCATCAAATCTGTAAGTTAACGTGTGATGAATCATGAGTACATATTATTTTGGTAAATATACTCCGAAATGGTATACATCTTTGCTTATCGGCAATCTATCAGTACATCTGTGACGATAGGCTATCGCTCGAGAACCTTCAGGCACAAAAATATTTTCGTTGAGAATAATGCAATCTTGTGGCTCTGAATTGACTGAACTCAACTCATAGATAACCACATACCACGATTTTTGGAATTCACTATTTATGAATAAATTCTACGAATTCTGGAAATAAATACATATGTGTAAATTTATCTCAGTCAATATATTGTAACTATTTTGTATTCATTATTTTTGACTATGATATACTTTAGAATCTTTAGAAAGTTTAGATGATGAAAATTGTGAAGAAAATTGAGGTCTTTGAAAAAAATAATATAACTTGAATTTTCTGAACTTCTAGATGGCATCCAATGTGGAAGCGAAAATGAATCTCAATGACATGACGCTGACAAAACACGTGGCAATGGACTGCGAAATGGTTGGCATTGGGGACGGTACCGAGAGTATGTTAGCTAGAGTATCGATTGTCAATCGTCATGGTGCTTGCATTTACGACAAATACGTCAAGCCTAGAGAAACCGTACAAGACTACCGAACTCCAGTGAGTGGAATTCGACCCCATCACCTCCAGAATGGTGAAGATTTTCATGTAGTTCAGAAAGAAGTAGCGGATATTTTACAAGGAAAGATTTTAGTTGGCCATGCACTCAAAAATGATCTCGCAGTTCTTTTTCTGTCTCATCCAAAAAGACATCTCCGAGATACATCGAGGTACAACCTTTTTAGGAGCGTCTCTAAAGGCAATACACCAAGTTTGAAAAAACTCGCAGGTGAGCTATTAGGAATCGACATTCAGGGAGGTGAACATAATTCGGTGGAGGACGCCAGGACTGCAATGCAACTTTATGTCCTCTATAAAGATCATTGGGAATCTGATATCTACCGTAGATGATCTTTGAAGAAGTCAATCAACAGTTATCTAATCAAATGTGAAAGTGAACGATGAAATCCTACCAATTGGTTCTTTATATGGTTTTGGTTACAGTATCAGTCGGTAGAGAATGAATTTTAAAAAGAAATATAAAAAACATATTCCAGTCAGCTCAAAAACTATCGCCTCATTAGTGCCGACCATGTCATCGATTATCTTTTGAGAAATGATAAGTGATCTGTGAAGACTTTCGTGTGTATCAGTTTGAAAAATTAAAAAGGAAGAGTTTCATTCACTTTTGCATTATAATTCAATGATAAATAACTGATTTTATTGAGAATTGTCTTCTAAACTTAATTCGTTGATATACAGAAAATTTTTAGCATTGTTCATTGCAACGGTGAAAATATTTTCTTATTGTTAAGGTAATGTTATAAATAATAAAGATGTTGCTAATTTTTCACAATAAAAAAGATTTTTATTATGAGTTAAGTAAACCCATCATATCCAGATCATGTGGAATTTCACGACTTTCTCATCAGTACTTTTTAATGCATAGAAAATTGTAGTTACTCTTTGTACTGCAACCAGTGCCGCAGTTATTAGTTATTCTCTCATTATATAAAATTATCCAAGCGTGTCTTCGAGGCTTGTGTCCTCAGATTCTTTTGAATGTACAAATTGAGGAGTGAAAACGTTATCGGAGGGGAGTAGTATATAGGTGACAGGCTATCTTGTATTAACCACGCTGAGATTGCGACACGAGGGAAAAGAGAGGAGCAATTGGTCCGGTTTTTTCTTCATTTCTGTCTCGTGATCAGTACAATCAGTGTAGACGTTTAACTCCCGAGAGTTAGTTGTTCAGCGAGGAAGAATTTTTTAAATATGCGGGTACTTGTTATTGGAGCCGGAAGTGCTGGACTAGCTGCCCTCAGACATTGCGTAAAGGATTTGAAAAAGTCGGCAGAGAGTGCAACAATTGGAACCCGAAAAATTAGTGAAGTTGTTTGTTATGAACGATGCGATAAAATTGGGGGGACTTGGGTCTATACTGAAAAAATTGGAGTTGATAAGTATGGGCTGCCCATTCACTCCAGCATGTATGATAGCCTAAGGTGATTACCTCTTCTTTTACTCTTTCAAATATTTTCCATTATTAAATAAAATGTATTCTGTATTTCTCTAGTGAAAGGATAAAGCGTTCCAGTTAAAATAATGTATTCCGATAAAGATCGATTTTCCTGCGATTCTCCCGATGGATTTGATAATTAGAATGTTTATAATATTCTACAGTTAATGAATATAACATTTCCCAGGCAACGAATTTTAAGGAGATGCATTCACTCAGTTTAGAAAATAACGAATAATTGAAGTAATTGTAGCTTTCGACTAGACGAGATCTTTCACCAGTCGAATTTTTTCGATTCCCATAAGAAGCATTTTATGTATTGATTTCTAAAAATAGTTTTTTTATTGTTTATTGTTTTCTTCCTCGATTTAATTGAGTTGAATTCCTGTTGGGTAGGACTAATTTGCCGAAAGAAGTCATGGGATATCCAGACTTCCAATACGATGTGAAAACCACCAAAAGCTATCTGACGCGTACGGAAATCCTAGATTTCTTAGAGCGGTACTGCGACCACTTTGACATTCGCCAATACATACAAGCAAGTATTGCATCTACAAATTATGTACAACAATCCATTATAATCCCTGAGTAATTTCGGAATTCGCATAGTTTGTTCATAATGTGGAGCTGATCGAACCTTCCCTTGAAGAGGAAAATCAGAAGCAATGGAAAGTAACGGTGAGGAATCTCAAAGAGGGACTGACGAAGGTAGAATATTTTGATGCGATTATGGTCTGCAACGGTCATTATTTCCAACCGTATGTACCAACCATTGAAGGCAACGAGAAGTTCAAAGGAAAAAAATTGCACAGCCACGATTATCGAGTTCCTGACGCTTTCGAAAATAAAACTGTTGTTGTTGTTGGTGCAGGACCGTCAGGTATTCACAATATTATATGGCGTTACATAATTATACTTAAGGCCCGGGTGGATTATCTAGAAAAGATAATTTACTCCGAAATTCGGATTCCTAATTACTTTGGCAATTAATCGTTTTTTTTTCAATAATTCTTAGCTAGCGTTCTAACGGTTGTCAACAACTAGGCCGCTAGCTAACAATTATCAAAAAAAACGATTAATTGACGGAGTAATTAGAAGTCCCAATTTTGGAGTAAATTATATTTTCTAGACAGCCCATCTGGGCCTTAAGCGACTGCAAGATTCAACCCAAAAAATGGAACATCCGTTCATTTGAATTTTTCATTATTACAATTGATTTTATGGTGTTGATAGGAATGGATTTGGCTTTGGAGATTTCGAAAAAGGCCCGAAATGTTATCTTAAGCCATCACAATAAAGATCCAATCCGTACAATCTTCCCAGAAAATGTAATTCAGCTTCCCGATATAAAAAAAATGTTGGAAAACGAAGTGGAGTTCGTGGACAACACTAGAAGAGAAGTTGACGTTATTTTATACTGCACTGGTGAGACCAATTGAAATGTCGACAAAAATTCAATACGTTATCAATTTCATTAATTTGAATAATTAAATGGGATGATTAAAGGATACAAGTACAATTTCTCATTCCTATCCCGGCAATGTGGGGTGAGAGTTGAAGATAATATGGTGACACCACTTTGGAAGCATCTCTTGTCTGTGGAAAATCCAACATTAGCTCTTATCGGTCTTCCGTTTTATGTCTGTGCCTTCAGCATGTTCGATTTACAAGTAAGTATTTTAAACAGCTACTTTATGAGGCTGAAAAATGAATCCACAATTTTTGGGAATTATTTGTGTTAAGGTACGATTTGTCGTGGAGTATTGGACAGGAAAAAAAACATTGCCATCAAGAGAGCAGATGGTTGCTGAGGAGACTCAAGAATTAGAGAAGAAAAAACTACAAGGACTGAAGAAACGTCATTTTCACATGATGGGGCCTGAGCAAGGTCGTTACTACGACGATTTAGCCATTACTGCTGGGCTCATTCCTCTACCCCCTGTTCTCACGAAACTCCACAATGAGAGTAGTCTGCGATTCCTAGAGGATCTTGTTCACTATCGAGAGGATAGATATCAAATATTAGATGACTTTAATTTTGTTCAATTGTAATTCACATCTATATCGAGCAATTCGAAGCAATAAACCGCCACGATATCAACATATTATTCAGATTCTACCTTTGCTTGTATACAACGTATTATAATGGATCAACTCTTCCTTTGTAATGATTTATTACCCAAATTAAATTTCAGTTCTCACTCAACTGCTGACTAGTGTACGCGATGGGCTTTCATGGAGTAATTATAGTAAGTACAAATGTTTCAAGTGAAAATGAAAGACATTGTTTTATCCACCATTATTTTGCAGATTTTTTTCATTACCGTAATCCGTTCAATAGTGTTTAATGATGCTAGTGTCTCGCTGTGTCCACAAACTATCGAATATATCGATGGAAAATTACGAAACAGTAAAGTGGAAATTGCCAAGACTTATGTGTACGATCCAGACTCAGGTGAACTAGTATATGAAAATTATTTTGTTGCTACTAGATGATTGGGAAAAAATATTACCATGCAACAATTTGCATTCGGTGAGGCATGTTCTTAGGTTTAACAAAAACAGCCATCTTGCTAATTTATTCTAAGAGATCAATATTTTATGAACAGAGCATTTCAAGGTAATAGCTTTCAGAATTTGAGAGGTATAAAAAAAATAACAGCTCTCACGTCAAATTTTTTCAATTCATCATCGAATTTATGTGTTGTGAATTTTAGCTACCAGCGTAACATACGATATAGAATGGAAAAGTCTGTGGACTCAAGATTTGGACTACCATGCGTTGACCATCGGTCTCTCCAACGAGATGTTTGTTTTGATCGACAGTGACCGAGTGATATTAATCAGCGTAACCTTGAATCCACCTGAATTATTTAAAACTCCAATCAGCCGTCATGGGGTGTCCGTCCACCGTTCCGATACTCCAATGAAATTTATAAGAAGGATCACGTGGAAGAATACGATTTATCTCTTAATTTGTTATGAGATAAATTTCTGTAACATCTACACAAGCCCATCAAACCTGGAATTTCAATATCAACATAGTCTGGCGTACGAGATGAGTATCCCCACGGATGCCAATTTCTTCATCGACAACAATAATTTGTACCTCGTGGTAGCTACTAGCTTTAACGCATATCCAGCCTGTTCAGTAATCTACCGTTGGACAGAAACCTACATGGACGAAATAGCAAAGATTTTCCTCAAATCTGTTATTTCCGTTCTTACTTTCAATCATAGAAATGCGAGAGTACTTATCTTCGCTCAAAATGATGAACAATCTCCTGTGGGATCTCAAATTTATAAATTAATAATCGACGGTTCAACTGGACACGGGAATCTAGAAATCAGCCAATTTCTTCCCACAAGTAGACCAGTAGGAATGCGCCTGTATAGCCACAAGGGTTGCAACTTCCTCCTAGTGGTGAACGAAACTGAAAGCCACGTCTTCTGGTGGGATGGTACAGAATTTCTCCCTTGGATACCAGTGAAAAATATCAAAGGAGAAAGTCTTTTGAATTCTGTCCAGATTGGCAACGATACCTTCCTCTTTGTAGCTCAACGCAACGTTCTCAGTTTGTACAAAGTTACTAGCATGCATTATGAACTTTTAGACACTCGTGAATTTCCAGATGTCATTAGAATTATTGACATAGGCGTTTGGAATGATGGAAAAACTATTTCGATTGTTCTCATATCTGAGATAAGCCCCAATCGTTATAGAGTTGAACCTGTGCAGTTCTTGATGAACGTAATTAAGAAAGGAGATGCTCAAACCAAAGATCTCCATCATAATTCTAATGCAACTGAGATTTGCTTAACGAAAATGGAAGAGAAATTGAACAAGTCCATGGAAAATGTTGAGAAGAGCAGATTTATGTGGGAGCATCTTCATTCAGCTCATCAAAGTGTTGTAATTGATGCCTTAGAAGCAGATGTTATCATTAGATCTGCCCAAGAATCGATAACAATTGAGAATATAGACATTACCGATAACACTACCGAAGAGATTATTCCTCCTACTGAATTAACGACTCTAATAGAATATCTTGAAGCTGAAATATCGAAGTCTTTGAACAAATCTCAATACTTGATTGCCATTAATTCAACCACAAGGACATTAGTTCTTCCAGCTTTAATTATCACGAATGAAGCAATCTTCGAGAATTTGAATACACCAGCTTTAGAGACTCAACTGATAAATAATAAAGATCCTAATGAATATTTCCATAATGCAATTTCTATAACGAGAGATCAAGTGTTTAATGAAATATTGAAAGGGAATAATGTGACTATTAATAATCTAGAAGTGGAATCTATGTGTGGAATATCCAGAGATTTATGGCTATTGAAAAACGAATCCGTGAAAATACCATTGAAGCCTCTTTCAGGACCGACGGGTCTTCAGATTGAAATAAATATTGAAAACGATACAGTCTTCATGACTTCTGACATTTTTATACGGAAATTTGAAACTAGTGTCTTGAATTCGGTGAATGTAACAAGCTTTATGAATGATTTGTTTATTACTGGGCAGAATCAAGTAATTAATTGTGACATAGTATTCGACCATTTGTTGGTTGACAATTTAATCCTTCAACAATTGAATGGAATTGCTACAGAGAAATTATTAACAATTACAACGGATCAGAGCTTTAATGATTCTGTATCCATCAATTCGTTGGAGGTTCAACATATTTACGTCGACAGAATCAACGGAGTTGATCCCGAAAGAGCAGCCAGAGTCTCTAAGGAAAACGTTATTAAGGGTCAAGTTACAGCAAACAATCTGAAGATTATAGACGAGCTCATTCTGGATGACAAGTGCGAGTTATTCAAAAAAGTTGAGCACATGTACGTGTACGATAATGTTACGATAATTGGAAGTGTCTCGATAGGACGCCTGCAGATTCAGAATCGTGCAAACATTAATCTCGAAAATTTAGCCATTCGTGGAAATGATGTAGACAGACTAACAGAAAAATTCTGGATGAAATCGACTGACCAAGTGATTAATAATCGTGTGAGTACGTTTGAAAATGGTATAACAATTGATGAATTAGAGACAGAATACCTCAATGACATCGGGAAGAATGAATATCTGTATACAACAGGAGAAAATATACCACCGCGATTCCCAGACATTCATTTCAATCATTTTGTTGTAAATGGCACGATTTTCCATGAGAATCGCACAAAAAATTGCATTGAAATCACCGAAGATGCTTTGATATTCAACACAAAGCTTTTCTTCAAAGAGTTGAATGTTTCAAATATCCTAACAAGACAGTACAATGGAATCCCAATTTATGCAATAATGGAAACCAGCAGCGATGACTCTGTACCCATCTCCCTCCCTAACTGTGCAGCACAAAGAATTATCATAAATAATGATACACACCTCATCCATCTTCAATTTCAAATTCTGAATAAACGAAACATTTCTGACTTACTTTTTACTGATCAACATCATAACGTGGAGAACGTCAAGACATCTGAGTTCACAGTAGCTGAATTTCGATCATCAAATCACAGTACGAAATTCCCAAGGGCTGCAAGTGATTTCATTCCATCTGCAGAGATGAATATAATTATTCAAGGACCACTCGTTATCGAAGAAAATTTCTATATCGAGGGATTCATAAACGGCCTAAATATCACTGATTATTTTCACCAATTATCGAAAGCAGATATTCAAATTCATGACTCACATCCTGTTTTCGAGAAACTCAATGTTTTGAAAGACACTACAATTCCGTTTTTTCAAAACATCGATGTTGATAAATTCGTTAAAAATATCTTTTCCAAAACCAGAGATCAAACTCTGACTGGAACAAAAACTTTTCATCGCGTGACGGTTAATAATGTGGATTCCGATGTTGTCAATGGAAAAAATATTGACAAAATGTATTTTGTTAATAGTTCCATAATTTGCGAGGGTGAGGTTTTCTTCACATCTCTTTCTACTGATGTAGATGCATTTACAGTTAATACTATTAATACGACATTAATTCAGAGGGATGTGTCGTATATAGTGTCAAAGAACATCAGCCAGATGACTCTTACTGGAATTGCCCATTGGGAAAATTATGATTCCCAAAAAAATTTATCACATATAATCAAAAATTCCGTGAGGATTGGTTCTAATGAAATCATTACAACTTCGATTGACTTATCACAAGTAGAGTACGTCGAAATAGCGTCACTTTATACCGAGAATTCATCTCTCTTGGAGATTGAAACCATCATCCAAGATGCTCTGCTACGCACCAACAATTCTGTGAATAAATTCAGTGGAATGAAAATATTTATGGATATTGTAGAATTGGAGGAACTCGTCGTTGATAATCTACAAATAGATAAACTGGAGACAACAACCGTCCACGACCTTAATTCCTCAATAGTTCGTAAATTTGAGGACTTGAAAATAATTAATGGAACATGTACTTTCCTAGATGAAATAACTATAATTAATTTGAAGACTACACATCTTGGCCCAGGATTACCAAATATCTCCTCTCTCTTCACCATATCCCAGAGTGCTGATAATCATCTTCCAAATGGTGCACGTTTTAATAACTTAGTAATTAAAGAATCAGCGCAAGTCTTCTCTTTGGATGGAGTTTCTATCGATAAATTTTTGGAAGACAGAGTAACGCTCACTGGAAATCACACAATTCCATCAAAGGTTCGCTTCAACGGTCAGATTCATATTCTCGATAATATCGAAGTAGAGACAACTGTCAATGGAATTTCTCTTCATGATGTCATCATGAAGGATTCGGCAGAACTACAAATAATAGAAGGTGTTAAAAGTTTCAGAGAAGATTTGGTAGTTGGGGACGTTGAGGCTCCTCTATTCAATAGAATAAATATCCTTGAAGCATATAATAATGGAATATTGAACGACGACTCTGCACTTATCAAGGGAAATCTAGTCATCAAAGGAGATATCGAATTGTTGCAAAATACGACAGTTGCGGCTGATATCAATGGCCTGAAGATCAGCTCTGCTACAAAAAGTTTTGATGATAGCTCAAATCAAGATTTCAGGATAACTGAGAGTAACTTGACAGCCATAAATGCATTAATTAATACCACCATCAACATCTCCACTCAACGACATCTTTCACAGTTGTTCTATTATATTGAACTTGAAGACCAGCTGGAAACTCCTCACGCCAAAAGTGCTCCGAAGGTCAAGCCAGTGGTCTCTGATAATCCAACGAAATTTAATTTTCATGCAATACAATTAAAAGAGCATTGTCCAGGATTACCCAGCGGTTGTTCCTGCAGAAATCAATACAACATAGAATTATCAGGTAATCAATTCACATCGCACAAGGCGGATAATTCGATGATTGTATTTAACTTTCATGATATGAATAATCTATTTATCATTACCATCACCACAACAACGATCTCTAGTTCCTTGAAATGTAGTTTGACGCCTGCAAATGATGAGTTCACAGTGATTAATTGGAGGGCACGCGACAATTCGACTGCTATTGGTAATTCTACACATAATTCCGAGAAAATTATGGGATATCTGAGTGATGCCCAAGTATTTGTGCATGATGGAGTAATTTATATCGTGCTGGTTATATCCTATGATGCAGAAAAAAAGACACATCAAGCTGATTCGTTAATTTACAAGCTGAACCTGCAGAAAAATCGATTGAAGCTTAAATTAAAGGTCTCTATGTACAACGCAGGTGCTGTTGAGGTATTTGAAATACCTGAGAAAGGATCACACATCCTAATAGCTTCTGAACAAGCTAGTAACTCTCAGAAGTGCGCAAAGTCTCTGCTTTATAGGATTAAACCCGGAGAAAATGTGTTTGAATTGCAAAGAACATTTTACTCCGGTGGAACAAGAAGAGTTAAAAGTCTTACTCATCGACATCAGCATTTTGTGCTGCTGGATGACGTACAAACAAATACCATTCATATTTACAATTACAGAGAGAGTTTCGATAACTTCTATCTCTATCAAAGTCTTTATTTTGAATGTGGAATTCGTGATATTGAGATTTATTATTCTGGGGAATTGGGATGGAGTGATGCTTACGTATTGATTACTACTGAAGACAGCAGGTTCTTCTTGTATCAATACATGATGAGCGGAAAATTCCAGGAGAGGATGAACAAATGGATCGACGGAATCATCTCTGTGACTCCTCTTAATTTACCGGATACCCACTACCTTCTATTCACTATGACTGACAATAGTACTATTTATAGACTTGTACCGCAGGGATTACTATAGTCTTCCGTGCAATTAATTGATCTCAAAGTAGACTTCAGCTAATTCGTAGCAGACGATTGAAAAAATTACAGAGAAGATACATATTCAATAAATATCTCTCAAAAAAAGGCAACATAACATGAAATAAAGTGCCGAAGGAATGCATCTTTCATACTCCAGTTAATTGTTAATAAAATCGAATGATAAAATTATAAAGAAATCAACATGTGTGAATTTGTTGTGTTTATGTGTTTGTATTTAATGAAATATACTTGTTATGCACTTTTTTTTTGTTAAATAAAATGGAATGGAATATTTTTCATTGAAACTACGCTGATCTGTTGTGATTTTTAAATGAACCGCTTGCAAGAGAAGTGGCGCATTCGTGCTGCAACACGAAATTATCCGACACAAAACCCCACGTAGATACATTACTTACGCTATGTTATACTGCATACCGGTATTCATCTGGAAAGAAAATTATTAAACCTCTTTTTCTACCGTGTCGTAGCAATAAACAATTACCTGGATCCTTTAACCTTCTATTCGAAAACAATAAATTATTTTCATCGAGTACCAGTTGAAAAGGCGTATACAACGAAATAAAAGGAGAGGTAAAATCATCCGAATTTCACGCTATTTTCAGAATTCACGAAAAGTTTATCATGACAAGATAAAATGAGAGTACTATTGAAACTAAATCCACCTGTAGTGAAATTTGTAGAGGTAGAATATTGGCTAGACAGTGATACAATCTTCCTAGTTGAGTTTTAGGTTATAAAGGACATTTTATTTGTAATGATGATGATGAGACAATTTTGATACTTTTAAATCAACAGGAAAATGGCTGTGAAAGGTCTTGTTGCTAGTATAATTCGCTTTTTGACGAAGCAATTAGAGGAGGGAGATATAACCCCAGACTCCCGTGAAAGTCTTGAAGTGGCGATTCAATGTTTAGAGAGTGCCTACAATGTCCAGGCATCAGATTCTCCACCGAATTTTGATCTATTAAGTTCTTATGAAACATCGTTGGAGGCATACAATTTTCCACCTAGTCGCGAAGCAACTGCCGAGGAAAAAAGCGAGGCTGAAAGATATAAAAATCAGGGTAATTCTCTCATGAAAGAGGATAAAATTCCAGGCGCTATCGAATTGTATACCAGGTACGTATCAATATAGATGGATTGCAATCAGCAATTAATATTTATAAATTATTATTATTCCAATTGACTACGAATAAGTCTCATTGAAGAATAATAAAAAACTCAATGGAGTGCCCTGAAAATTGACAATTGTTTACAAATTTTTATGCTCAATTCAGAGCAATTGAATTGGATGGACGCAATGCAGTTTACTACGGGAACCGTGCAGCAGCATATAGTAAAATAGGAAATCACCGGCGTGCTGTAAAAGATTGCGAAACAGCGCTTAAAATTGATCCTACCTACAGCAAAGCCTACGGACGCCTCGGCTTGGCATATTCAAGTTTGGAAAAGCACAGGGAAGCGAAAGAAAGTTATCAAAAAGCACTCGAAATGGAGCCAGATAATGAGAGTTACAAGAATAATCTTCAGTTGGCTGAGGAGAAGTTGGCGCAACAGGGAGTCAGCAATATTGGACTTGGTGCTAACAATCCAGGTTTTCCAATGGATTTGAGCAGTATGCTCTCAAATCCTGCACTCATGAGCATGGCTAGACACATGTTGTCAAATCCGGGGATGCAGAATATGCTGGGGGATCTTATAAGTGAAAATATTGAGCAAGGAGGAAGAATGGAGGCCCTAATTGAAGCGTAATTATCCTTACATGTCTTCAATTAGTAATTCCATCTGATTGATATATATTCGAGGTTTAAATTCCATATACTTTAACTGGTTCTATATGAATATAGGAAATATATGGCTTGCAGCGCATTGAAAAATTGATGGACTTTTTTTTAAATTCAAACATTTTGATTTTTTAATTTCTAGAGGACAGCAATTGGTCCAGCAAATGCAGTCCGCCAACCCTGAGCTCATAGAATCTCTCAGAAGACAGATGGGTGGTGGACCAAATGACCCCGATCCACCTCAGCAGAATTAAACTTCCAACAACTTGGATGGTTGATTTGTGGGCAATCAATCATTATTCATAATTGTCCCGTGATAATCGTCAGCGTGACTTTTCGTTCAACTGCAACATTCTTCTCTTCAGTTTTCTTCAATCCATTTGATTATAAATTATATTATTAGTTTCTGTTCCTAAATCATGTTGTTTCTAGTGCTTAGGAGTTGACATGTATTCGAGCATTATTATAATAAACGGACATCAATGCGTAATACAGCGTTGATAATTATTTAGCCCCCTGCATGCGACTATAACGGATCTCTGCTGTAGTATGTAAAGAAGAAACTCTCCAATAAGGTGATACCGTGAATAAAACTCGCATTGGTTTATATATAAAAGATGACATAAAATCTTTATTACAAAAAATAAATTAATTTACTTTAAATACAAAAATACATTGATAATTAATATTAATAATACTCTCTATAGAGTGATGATTTATTCATTATTATTATAATTTGGAATTCGTCAGATAAAATCTAGCGTTAATTTATCCCTTTTTAAATTTCGTAGTCGTTTGAATTGCTACCATTTATGAATATTTAGCATTCAAAATTGGGCCTAGTGAGATGAAATTTACAATTTTTATTTGTTTCTTTTTTTTCTTATATGCATATGTTACGAGCATATGATGAGAGTAAATTGAATATTTTGTATTAAAAAAAAAACAAAATATAGATTGTACGAACCAATTATTTTATACAGTTATGAGAGAGCTTGAATTACATAAACAAGATTAATGAAAAAATTATTATGTCTGAAGGTATCAAAGTACACAGAAAACTTACCTCATTGAATTTTTAAATAAATTGAACCATCACTACTTTTAATAATTTCCCTCAACTTTTGGTTCTCTACAAAGAAAAGCCTTATGCTGTTATTATCATACTCTATCAGTCCTGCTTCTAATATATTATGATATTTTCTAATATATGGCTGCTTAAACTTGCACATTGTACTCCAATCCTGTACAAAAAAACTGAAGAATTGATCTGATGATTCCATGCTGTACAACTGATATTAAAAATCTGATGACCATTTTATTATGAAATTATTTTAGTACTGAATGTCTTCGGGACAAAAATCATTATTACTGTCTTTCTATGAATAATTGTCGTAATTACAAGTGAAGTCTCTTGATATCTCATGCTGGTGTTAAGCAATTGTTAGATGCTTGTACAATTAATGAAGAAGTTATATTGAACTTATTACGTTTAGGAATGTCAGCTTGGATCATCATATCGTTCTTATTTGAAGAAAATTCGTACTGTTTAATTATGAACATTATTAAATGTCGAAAGCGAGGAAAAGAACCTGGGCACTGCTCTCAGATTATTGACCTTTCAGAACAATACTGAAGGAATTCTGTGTATGAAAGGTAGTAATTTGGCAAGCATTGTGGGTGCTACATACATTAATCAATAGAATATATAATTGTAAAATTAGATAGACTTATTGTTTTTCGACCGCATAACCGAAGAATTTATCTAATTAAATGTCCAACTCATTTAAGGCTTGACGTGAAACGTGTGTCCTGTGAGTTCATCTCAAATCGACATCTTAATCCTACGTTTTATGATAATAAACTATTCTCTGATATCTAGAATTTAATTATTCGGAAATTCAAACTAACATTAAAAATAATAAAATTCTCAACATGACGCGAATATTTCCATGAACATTATTGGTCACTTTAAAACTAAAAATGTGTTGTACAATAAAGTGCATTTCCTCTTGCTAAAATTACCACATAATAAAACCAGCCTCTATTAATTTCATATCTGAATGAGCTTATAAAAGCTATATTGCAAACTAAGTGGATTTTTTTTTTAAATATATGAATGAAAATATTAGTCAATACGTACTTCAACATTTTTCTTTGTACTTCCTTTTTTGTCGCAATTTCTGCACTTGCCCTTCGTAATCTTTTTCTACTTGTTCAATTTTCTTCTTCGCCTCTCTCTCCTGTGTCTCAAGAATATCATAATAATTTTGTTGTACTCGACTTATGGCCTCTTTGTATCCCTCATCAATGCGTTTGCATTCGAGAGAATAAAATTCTTTTTCTTTAGCCGCATATTCCTGAGAAAGAAAATATATCAATATATATTATAAAATATATAATGGAAGTTAAGTGATTGTAAATGAACGGTTAACTCTGAGATTCAAAAATCCGTCCATAAAGAACAGACGCATTAACTAGTTCATATTATTCTTCCCTAATTAATTAAATATGTGACAATTACCCTGTAATTTTGAGCAGTAGATTTCGCAATCTGGTACTTATGTCTCAGAATTTCCAAGGTTCCTTTAAGCTTCTTCTCCTTCGCCTGTAAACCACTAATTTCTTCCTTCAAATTTTTCTCAACCCCTTGTAGCCTATCAATTTGTTCCTGCATGTTCTTCTCCTTTTTCCTAATCCCTTCCATCTCAGCAGCCCACTGAGACATCATCTGAGCCATGTAATTTTTTTCCTCTTCCATATCCATCTCCTTTTTTCTCAATTCCGTTTGCAATTCCTCGATTTTCAATTTCCTTGCTACAAGCTCTTGCCTATATCCTTCGAGTTTCGCCTCAATCATCTGTTCAACAAATTGCTTCTGCTCTTTGAAAGAATTATGCAGCCTCACCTTCTCAGCCATTATTGCCTCTTTCGCAGCCTCCAATGCTTTTGCCTTCTCTTCATACCGTTTATTCAATTCCATTAAAATTAATTTATATTTCTCTTCAATGTGCTTCTGTTTCTCCCGATGCTGGTCTTCAATAATTTTTAACTCTTCAGCTTTTGTCTCCTTCTCTTTAATTGACATTTCTCGCAACTTTTCAAGCTCGACTCCATCTTGCACATTTCGACGAGAGAGATTAAATTCAGCTACCTCTTGCCTTTGATTCTTAATATACTGTTCGAATTGCTTTTCCTGAACTTTCAGTTGTGTAACAAGTTGATCTCTTTCAACCTTAATCTTATCTAAATCCTTCAATCTCTCTAATTGGGCATCTTTTTCCTGAAGCTCCAGCTCCAGTTGCTTTACTTTTGCATCCAGGTACATTTCCTTCTTTCTACCGTCACAGCTATTATTTAATTGTTCTGTCAATTGCTTAACAAAATCTTTATACTGACTCAATTCCTTCTCTACATCATTTCGAGTATTTGATAGTCTATCGTCTGATCGACTGATATTGGTCTCCAATTGCATCATTTTCTTTAAGCTATCATTAAGCTGTATCTGCATTTCAGATAATCGTTTCTTGTACTCCATTTTGTCTCTCAATAAACTGTCACATTTTTCACTCAACGCCTCATTTTCTACCTGAATCTTCAACGAATAATCCTGCGGTTTAGAATCATCTATCTTATTGGTCCGCGAGTTTAACAATTCCTGTTCGGATTGCGATAGTTTTATTAATAAATCTTGTTTTTCGTTTTTAAGTGCTTCGTATTTCTGTTTGATAGTCTCTTGAACTATTTCCATTTGTGCAATTTTTATTTTTTTGTCGTCTAATTCACTCTGAAGGTCAAGAATTTTTTTTTGCTCCTCAATTGCGCTGGACAACTTCAACTCCAGACGTTTGCAGTCCTCCTCAAGCTCGGCAATTTTCTCTGAATGCTCTTTACAGTGATCAGGGAAAAGAACACTTATTTGGTGATCTGGATGAGAATTCCTCAATTCCGCCAGGGCCTCGTCCTTTGCTCTCTCTATTTCGGCGTCTATCTTCTTGCGATATTCCACGCGATATTTTTTCTCGTTACTCAAATCTTTTTCTAAGTCTATTATCTTGTTTTTGTGGGCTTCACATTCATGTGTTAACCGTAAAGTTATTTTGGTTTGTGTGTCGAATTCTCGCTTTATTCTCTCCAATTCCGATTGTTCCGTGTCAAACTTGGCATACGTTGCTTTTAATTCTTGAATTTCGCACCGGTGATCGTTGATCAATTTCTCTTTAGTGCCACATACATCTATGTACATTTCTTTCACTCGGTTAAGTTCTTTTTGAGTTTGCTCTAATTGAACAGTCAATTGGAGTATTTCGTCCTGGGCCTCTTGGCGAACCCTTTCAACAGCTTTATCATGAATCTCTAAGTACTCCTTGTTGTATTCTTCGACCATTTGCTTTTCACGTTGGTGAAGAGTATCTTGATGAAGCTTTTGCAATGTCTCCTCCTGATGCGCTAAGGTTTCCTCTAATTTTTCTTCTAAACTTTGTTTTTCCCGTCGGAGGCTCTCATTCATATTTTTCATTTCAGTTAGATGTTCTGATAATCGATTAATTTGAGAGTTTGCTTTGGCTGTGTGCTCTGTTAATAATGATTTTAATTCCTGTTCCAGCTCATTGACTCGTTTCGCATAACGTGCTGCCTCTTGTTGACACGTTTCGGCGAGTGTTTGGGCTTTCTCCAACTCTTTTTCCTTCTGGGCTAAACCACTCTCAAGACGTGTAATTTCTTTTCGTTTAACCGCCTGTCCGGCTATGCAACGCTGGAGTTCACTTTGTAATTTATTCGTTATGTCATCGTTTGCTCGAGATTTGTTGTGATATTCACCAAGTTTCAGTTGACGAATTGAATCAGATCCTTCTTCCATTGTGGCAGCTAACATTGAGTCATAGTGGTAAACATCGGCTTTAGCTACTTCTAATTTGTGCTGTGAAAAATATTTGACGAATTTAGCTCTTATATATGTATATGAAGAGACATTTTTTTTTATTGACAAAAATAAAATTTTACCTGCAACTCCTGAATCATTGTTTGCAACTCCTCTTTTTCTTGCGACAGTAATTTTACTTTACTCTGAAGTTGTATATTCTCCTGAACGTTATTCGAAGCCATGAGATTTCTGCATTGAGTTTGGCTCAGTTCAAGAGCCTCGGCCAAGCGATTCATATTATCACCCTTCTCCACCACAAGTGTTTCGTGAGCTCTTCGTACATCAGCTAATTTGTGTTCCAACGCAACGTAGGATGACTCCTAGAAGTATAAAAAACATTAAGTTTCATTGATTTCCTCCACATAATCGTAACAACTTGCCCAATTTCCGTGTGGGCGAGAGCTCACTTTATGCAGCTTGTAATAATAATATTTAAATTCATTGATTTGTACGTAAATTGAAATATCAAGAACCCTATAAATAAATATTAAGTCGACCTATTCAATACCTTGGCATTCAATTTATCAGTAAGCAGATCGATCTGTGTTTGCATGTTTCTCATTTCCACACAATGTTTCTCTTGCGCTTGTTTGAGAAATTTCTCATGCGTCTTGTCATTAGCTTGAAGTGTCTGTACCCTCTCCAAAACGTTAATCTTTTGCTGCAACTCTACTACGGAGCTTTTTGCCACCGACAAATCCTCAGACATATTCTGATTCGTCTTCTCCATCACTGCAATTTTTTCCTTGAAAGCAGCCACTTGACTCTGCAACTCGACGATCTCAGCTTTGGCATCAACCAACGAATTTTGTGCTTGATTTCTCGACAAGTTTGATCGTTCAGTTTCAGCTTGAGCCAATGCCAACTTTCTTATCAGTTGATTCTTTTCCTCTTCCTTTTCTGCGTGTAATTGCTGAAGCTCTTCAGTCAGTTGTTGAATCTCTTTCATTCTCACTGAGTACAAAACCTCAAGCTGCTCCTTACTATTGTATTCAGCGATTTTGTACGCATTACTGTCATTAATAGCGCAACCATTGGGACCGGTTTTATAACAGTGATTGTGATGCTCAGATTCGTTATCATTACCACCATCACTGTAATTCCGAGACTCTTTTTGAGCTATATTATTCTCATAGGTACCGATATACCCATTATTCTGATAATTTTGTTTGACTCCATCGTAATGATTGGAGGGTGTTTGATAATTATAGGGATAATTCTCCAGCAATGTATAGCCATCATTGATTTGCGCCCTGAGATCATGAGGATAGGAGGCTGGATTTGTCAAACTAGGAGGCCTAGGAAGCTCATAAGGACTCTCTGCAATTGAGTTTGAGGATTTATTATCCATATTATTATTGCGAGGCGTTGATAGTCGACCATAAACACCAAATTCTCTCTGCATATCGGAGACAGTGGGCCCCTTATCAGTGTCACTTGTGGGGAAGGAGCTCGTATCACGTTGTCCATAGATACCAAAATCATTCTGATATTGTGAGACCGTTGACCCTTTTTCCTCCCTCTCATGCATGTAACTCTTGTCTATTACGCTGTGGTCTAGGCATCGAGATGCATCCGTATAATTGTGACTGCTGTTAATCGAGCTAGCATCGTCGTCCTCCTCGTAATCCTCATCGAAGGCATTGGTCAGTATATCTTGGAGCTCCTCACCACGTCTTCTGAGATCTTCCTGCTCTTCCTCCTCCTCTTGTCGCTGCCCCCCAGCCTTAATATGTATACTGTCGGAACCCTGAAAGAGACTCAAACCTGGAGCCTCCATTCCAGCACAATCCTGTATTCCGGATGAACACCTCTGTTTATCACATTAATGTACATTCACCTTATACAGAACACTATTTTTCACAAAATATCTTTTGTTTATAAACACCATAACCTAAATGCAACAAGTGGATCATCTATTTACAATCACACGATATTAATTGGCAAAATTATGAGTTTTATGCAATTGTTCACTTCCATTTTGATTACTTGTACTGGATTTGAAGGGAATTTAGAGGGAATTGTGGTCATTTGGATGGGACAATTTTCTGTATTGAGTGCTTGTAAACAATCTTTGAAAAGTCAAATGGCATTGTAGGAAGTGGACACGCGGGAAGTGAGTTTTTTCCGGATGGCATCTAGAATCCTATTGGTTGGTTGGTTTGTCAGTAAACATAATAGTCATAATACCCACTCTCTCGCAGCAATCAATTAGTTTCACTTTCACTTCAATTTCGTTACGATTGTTAATTGTTGCAAGTTCTTCATTTATTCTTTATCCATTTATTATTGCTGATGACAATATGAAGGTTATTATTCAAAGGGTTAGACAGGCGTCAGTCACAGGTTTGAGATTTGAGTTGTCTCCTTGTAAGGTTATATAGACGCTAGCTTGACTCCGACTTATCGACCATTTTTCAATTTTTATTCTTCGTAATGTTATACCAATAATCAAACTCATACCAATTCACATTTTCCCACTTTTTCTCGGTCTTTTTAATAGCATTTCCTCACTTGCTACGATTTATTTGTTAAGAATATTTATTATTTTTTTAATGCTGTGAGGAAAAAGTAGAAAATTAATTGATTAGAAGAAGAAGAAGGAAGCGCATGCGCAGAAACGCTTCCTCTCTAGTGCATTTGAAAAGAGGGAGATGTCGGATATCTGTAGGTTACATATGTATATACATTATATGCATATGTATATATATAAGTAGAAACTGGGAGCGTGGGAAATTGAAAACTCGAAGAAAGTCTTTTTAATCATTTACACACATGAATTTCCACCAGTGATGAGGAAAAAAGGTTTTAAAAAATTATATGTACTTGAATACTCAAGTATTTGAAAAATCTGAACTGCTGTAACAAGTTTTTTTCAATTGATTTGAAGGTTTCATATTTTTCATTCCTTATTCTTTAAAAACATTGAAATAAATATATAAATAAAATATAGGGAGATTTTAAAAGGGATTTTTTTTCGCCGAGAACTTGTGAAAATTTCAAGTTGATCAGATATTGGTGAACGTGGCATTTCTTTTAATTTTCATACTTAATAATCGACGAAACCAAATCGACAATGATCGAAAAACGAATATATTAAAAATAAAGATAATTATCCACTTGTTGCAGTTGATGGACTGGTAATTAGTGAAATTGGTCGTGGACTTTGTGTACTTGTTGGAATAAAAGCTAATGACACCCTTGCAGACATGGAATACATGTAATGAAGACCTATACATTTAGGAAATAATATCTCGAGTAATATTTTTTAATCGTAATAATTGCTTCATTAATGTGCCTTGAATTCGTTGCATTTGCAGAGTGAAGAAAATACTGAATCTGAAATTATTTGATGATGAAAAAGGTAAAAGATGGGCCGCAAGTGTCATGGATAAGCGATACGAAGTGCTGTGCGTTAGTCAGTTCACTCTCTACCATGTCATGAAAGGGAATAAACTAGATTTTCATCGAGCAATGTCTGCCGCTCACGCAGAACCATTTTACAAAAATTTTATTGGAGAACTTGGAAAAGCTTACGAGCCCGAGTTGATTAAAGGTGAAATAATTTTAAACAAATTACTTTCTATATCAATTTTATTTAATATCATTTTCGTTCGTAATATGTCGCAATTGTAAGACAGAAAATTTTTTCCGCGAAATTCCTTACCTGTTATCTTTTTAAATTATCATATGTAGAATTTTTTTTTGTATTTTTCATTTAGATGGCCAGTTCGGGGCACTGATGACAGTTCGCATTGAAAATGATGGACCAGTAACTATTGAAATTGAGTCACCTAGCCCTAAAGAAATTCCAGGTCTCGTTCCAGAATAAATAGAACATATCCTTAATACTTCCATTGTCAAACATATACGTTATTTGATGAATAATTACACTGATGTTAATTGCACTTTCATTTATTCGTGAACTAAAAAAAAAATCATTGAGTCCAAATTTTGTCACTTTGAATTTTTTCCCGGCTAAGCGATGTAATTGATAATTACATTTTTGCCGTCAGTTACGTCTCTGGCGCAGCATGATTCTCATAATGTGCGGAAGTAGGAAAATATGAGAGTCTCCTGGAAATTTACTAATAAATACGTTAAACAAAGAACGCGCTGTTTAATTAAAAAAAAATGATTGTTATGTATGCAATTTCATCTCGCGGCAGAGTGTATATGTGAAAAAAATCGTTGAAGCTTCAAAAAAGCATAAAAAGTGTCAATATGTCAGTGAGGAAAAATAACCTCTGCATCCTGACACTTGGAGCTTTAGTTTTTAACTAATCCCATTAATAAATAATAAACGAGTAACCAAAGATATAATGGATAAAATAACAACGGGAAATACTGCCGAAAGGCAGAAAAAAATACAATACTCCACCGAGTATCAAGGTAAAAGTCTGAAGAATGACAGCTGGAGCAACATATTTTTTGTGCGGGAAAATTCAAAGTTACATTTTTACTTATCTTTCAGAAACTCCAAAAACTTCACACACCAATCATGCAGACACCAATCATATTGAAACGAAAGAATGCGAAAAAATAGGAGAAAGTGTGGAAGAATTAAAAAATCAATTAGGTAGGCTGATGAACTCATTGGCAACACTCTCTGCAGAAAAATCAAGAATGGAAGCTAATTTTCAGACTGATCGGAAAGCGCTCCGAAGCGAACGCGAAGACGTAAGTTTTCCGTTGATATATTTCAGAAAATCAGTATTGAATTGCTGAAACCATAATAACTATATGAATAAGGTCGTTCTTTTTATTTTATTGCATAAATCGCTAATGAAATATCATGATTTTTTTAGTGTGATCGAGTGATCAAAGAGTTAAGAGACAAATTACGACGAGCGCAGCAAAACACTCACTCGGAACTTCAGCATATGAAGTATAAATTAATAATGGAGTGTCACGAGCGAGAGAAAGAGCAGATTGACAACTCGGTAAGGATGAAAGAATTGCAACGTGTGATAGCGGATGAGCGACGGTCTAAGGAAGCCTTTGAGCAGCAGATTAAAGAGATGAAGAATCACATTGGGGACAAAACTCAAAATAAAATCCTTGAGGCAGAACTCGAGATTGCAAATAATAAACTGAAACAAGCTGAGACAGCAGTGAAAGAGACTCCCCCGATTCTGGTTTCCCTTCAGTCTGAGATGACAGCTATGAAAAAACAACATCGAATGGCAATCCACGAAGAGCAAAAACGAGCTGTCGCTGTTGAGCAGCAAGCGAAAATTCTCGAAAGAGCGCACGAATTGAGAGTGGCGAGTTTAGAGTCTAGGCTTGCTGAATTATCCGAAACTGTTGGAGGGTACGATAGATTGAGACAGCAGGATCAACTCGCCATTCAGAAACTTAAGAATCAATTATTGGAATTACAGAAACATAACGTCAAAGAATATTCTCATAGAAACGTTTATGAAACACCGGAAACTATATCGACGCAGATAAAAGAATTATACGGTAAATTATTGGATATTTCTAACGAGAAGAATAACACGTTTAATGTTGAAGATTTTCTGCAGAGTCTCAACTTACGAAATATTTCCAAAGATATTGATTACAAGGAAAACTACGAAATTCTGGAGCAAGATTTTGAGAATTACAAGCAACAAATGTCAGCTAAACTGGAATCAGCTAATGATTTAAATGTGGAGAATGAAAGAGCAGATAAGAGTACGGAGTTATATTTGGCAAGGACTCACGCAAAAAATCTGGAAGAGCGAATTCGGATGTTGAATAAGGAAGCAAGTGATAAGGCAAGTGAGATTAATGCCAAATTGGAGCAGCAAATTCAACAGATTCAGGAGGAGAGAATGAGATTCGAGAGAATATTATCTCAGAAGGAAACTGAGTTTCGCTCTAAAGTAGGTGCCCTTGAGCATCAAATCCTGCGACAGAGGGAGAGATCTTTGGCTCTTCTCGAAGAGAAAGATCGTGAAATAACGACACTCAAGTCTTCATTTCGATCTATATTAATGAAACACGAGGCTCTCCCTGGCAATTGTCATGGAGACGACGAAAAAAAATCAATCCACACAAATGTTGATTTTGTCACATCGCTTTTGACAGTGGATAGTCCACCGATGCTCCATTATGCTCATGAACTTGCAAGAAGGGATATTCAAGTGTCAGGGTTAAGAAAGCTGAATAGTCAGCTGGAAGCTACCCTTAGAGAAAATCAGCGAGACCTGATGACGATAACTCAGAGACACGCGGAGGAAATCAAAACATTAGAGAATAAAATTACTAGGTAATTATCATTTCCATTATCATCTATTGGCCTAAAAAAAATTTCAACAACAAAAAATAATAACTGAATGAATAATCAAAATGAGTAAAAGCAACAAATAACTTACTAAGTAGTTCTCTAATTTACTCTTTAATCGTTAAATTTATATGTACACTTTTGAATTTTACAAAAGCTTAAACAATAATTTTTTGGAGAAAAAAATGTGCAATTTGTTCAAATTGAATAACAAGGGAAGTTCAAAATTGGAAATATCAATGAAAATGATTGATGTAAAAAGCCTCTCCCTATATGATTGTCAATAATTTTTTGATTTTCCATCAATAATAACAGATTAGAAGCGTATAAATCACGTGAAGGTGCCAATCTCGAATACCTGAAAAACGTAATCGTCAATTTTCTAACGAGCAACGACGCCTCCAGCAGACGCCACATGTTGAATGCAATAGGAACAGTCCTGCGTTTCACCCCTGATGAAATGGAAAAGATTCAGCACGCAAAATGACATCGACATTGCGTGTAAAGGGAGATAAACTCATACACGATAAACTCAATCATGAAATGCTAAATTGTAAATGTGACCCTGCAAATTCCATCGATTGTAAATACATTCTTAGATTCTATTATATTCCACAATATACAGCACCATAATCTTCAATGAGAATCAACAAGTTTAAAGTCAAATTTTCCTGTAATTGTGCATTGAATTTATTACATCAATATCTTTACATGGAATCAATTACTCTTGGTTGGCATTGAAAAAATATTCTCAAGCTCTTTTATTTTTATTTTTTCCCTTCTATACGTGAGTATTATTGACCAACGTGCACGTTAATATATTTATAGTATATTCATCATGGTTTCTGTCGTTATGCATACGGAACACTAATTTGCAATCCTATTCTTAATATGAATAAAACACTTTTACAATAAACTTCATAATAATCCATTTCACAATATACTTCTTTTAATTCAATACCGCCCTTTTATTTTATACTGTACAAGAAAAATTGGGTGAATAAAAATCAACAGCCCTTATGTTTTATTACTGCATTAAGACTCAATATTTTTAAATATCGAACAAGGAAGATATTCATCAGTGGGTGCGGCTAATTGCTCAATCGCTAGCGATAAAATTAAAATGCTTCATTCTAATTCATTTCTATAGATGTGTTGTCAAATGAAAAAACAATGTGCAATTCTCTTAACAATTTGTATCTAGTCTCAATGAATTCAGGACGAGATTTTAAAATATTTTCATCGCCTTGTGCCGGAAAGTAACTTTTCAAACATACTCCGCTTCGCTTCGCGTGATTAAAAAATCACTTTCCCGCACATTGTGAAGAAAAATATTGTTCACAACGAAATATACTATTTTACCCATGTTTTTCGACAACAGAAATAACTTGGGCGAAGCATTGTCTCATTTCTCAAAACAAGTATGTCTTCATTTTTACTCAAGAAGTAAATTGATAGAAAGTTCAAATGATAATTTTTTTTTCACCAACCTTCAAGGCATTTATCGACTCTTGTACGATCGCTCCGAATTTTAAAACATGAGCGATTGTCAACACACATTACTTTTTTATCTCTCATTTCAACTTGTCATTTGTCTCTGTTTATTCAATATTCATTTGCAAATTGTATCAATTAGACATCAGTATATAATATATATGTTTCTTTGATATACATAAATTTAGGTATCTTATTCTCCGTAGCCACATTTTTTAGGTCCGTCCCTCCTTGTATATTCTGATTTCAATGATAATAATTCGTCATGTCCTAACGTGATAAGACTTCTTATGTACACCATTCCATCATTCTTTATACAGAGCCTCTTAATACAATTTTGTTTGGTTTCCCCGAGAACAATTTTCATCCAAATATATCAATAACTGGAAAGTACATTTGCTTTTTCTTCTTTTGAACACTTTCTTCGCAATTTTCTGTTAGTATTATTTGTTTTTTTTTTCTTTGAAAAATATCAATTTGCCAAAAATGTATTACATTCCCCAAAGGTTTGCATTTCTTTTCAAAATCCCCACTCCAATTACAGCAATGATGCAATGACTCGTCACTTGATTAAGGCGATTATAACAAATTTCAAGTGATGATCACCATAGGAAGTTTTTCTTTCTTCAGTCCCCTAATTGTACTTACTAAGAAAGAGAGAAAAAAAACGCAAAGATGGTTGTATTTTCATCTTGTATTCTACATGGATTCTATCTTTTTGCGTTTTCTCATTTACCGTTTATTTATAAGAAAATTCGTGATATTGTAGACATTGTCTCCTCGAATTAATGGCGCTTTTTCGATTGAGCTTCTCTTGGTAACGAAAAAGACCACCCACGGCGAAAGGAAAAATTTTTATATTATTTTCTTATCATAAAAAATGTATATATGTTAAGTACATCACTAAACTCGGTCAATTTTGCTTGAAAATTCTGGAATAGATTCCCTCTCAAGAGTGAGCTCATACCGACTACTATACTTTAGTCGATCAATTTCACTCAATTGGTCCGGTGAACTGGTACTTATGCAAGGGCACTTGTGCATAACTCTTATTAATTGATTTCCTGGATATTACTTCTTACGGAGTTAATGAGCCCTGCAAAAATGTCCACTCTATTTTTCTGCAATCTCCTCCTCAATAATTAAAAATTCAGTATTTAAGTGCTAAATGATAATAACTCCATCTTGGTTCTTGATTATTTTTCCGGAAATTTCTTAGTCAATCGCAGTTGATAAAGGAAAGATTATAATAATGTCTCAACTTCTTATGTAGACCTCACTTGGTTTAGCAAAGAGCAAAGGTAAATGTCTATTTTAACTAAACCAAAACCTCGACTCACACAAAAGACTCAATAAATTCCTCCGATTGATCTGGCACTGATAATATAAAGTAAGCGAGTAGGGAGTTATACTAGACATTTACCAAAATGAATGGTTATTGAAATTTTAACATCTTTCAAATCCGAAGATAATCATATGAAAATCTCCTTTCAATCCAAATGATCTCCACTACTTTCTATTCAATTCATTGGTTCTTTGTATTATTGAGATTGCACTTGGAATAGCCTCGGATTAGAAAAATTCAGGAGCCATGTCTCTCATTACACAATGAATGATGTACCAATACAATGATGAGTAGAAAATGAAGAGAGAAGACAATTCGTTTCGACGGATTGGTGCGAGGTTCAACTAAGCTGGCCCTTGACAGATACAGTGCCTTCAGCAATTTGCAATTTACTTATATTTCCTATATATCCTCTCCTAATTTATTAATATAATTTCCTTAATTATTCATAATCTTGTCTTGATATTCGTTAATTTAATATGGATTTATATACACGGGAGTTTTCTTATTGCCTTTAGTATATAGACGTTATCACTTTCTTCACATATTTTCTCATTTTTCAATTGTGTAGGGTCGGGTGTTACAGTAGAATCTCGTTATAGTCGCAGTCTTTTTAATTTCTCCTGGCTACAAAATGTAAATAATCCATGGTTTCGTCCGAGAAAATTAATTTCAAGCAAAATAAAGTGGGAAAAAATAAATTTCGAAAAAATTTAGTTGCATAGAGTTGAATTCTCCGAATTCAATTTCCCTACAGCCCCATGCACGCGACTGTAACGACAGTCTACTGTAGATTTTTTTTAGTAACGCCATCAGTTGATTAATATCATATTTGTTTAACAACTTCCAACCTATTTAATAATGAGTTATACGAAGAATCGTATAATAAAATGGCTACAATGAAAATAATATGAGGGAAGACGGTGGTAAAGTGTAAGGTCTAGATTGTTATAATTCTTCGACTTCTCAGAACAAACGGTCTGGGTCTACTTTACCTCATCTTCATTAATAAAAATTGATTAGATTTGGAGAGAGGGAGTGGGGATGAAGGGTTCAACACAAGTGGAAGTAATTTTCTTCTAAACATAATTTTATAAAAAATCTCAATTCATTTTTTTTCTGTTTGTTATTCTTCCGTAATTATTTCTCTTGCGATTAATAGAAATATTACAAAAAATTATAATAAAATGGGTGGAAAAAAATCACCCGATGAATATAGCCGCCATAGAATATTACTTCTGCATTCATAGATCACAGTCACTTTTGGGTATGGCTGCTAAACCACCATGAAAAACAATTTCGTCATCTTTCCTTTTTCATTTTTTTTTCAGAGAATTCTCCGTTAAAATATCCAGTTAAGAAGAATCAAAAATGAAAGATAAATAAAAGAATAAAAAAAAGCTTATCAATACTGGAAAGTACTTTACACATTTTTCTAAAGAAGTACAAAATCATTGCAAAAAAATAAATCCAAATATTGTTTTCTTTTTGAGCGAAACTCGTTGAGAAATACTTAAAATGAAATAATATTTCCTCACCAATAAAGACTCATTGGATGGACTCTTCAAGTGATTTAATTCATCCCCGGAATGTGCAGACTTGATTGTGATATAGATTTGTTTTCAAATTCTCATATTTGACGGAAGCACACTTGAGCGAAAACAATATCATTATTTCATATGAAAGCATTTCTCATTTTGCGGCCATCATTTAAGATCATTACTCACGATTTTTTTTTGTAAATTTCCATGATAAAAAATGATTTAAGTCGAGGAATCATTGCAATGCGTGACATATAACGTATAAATAAAATAAAAAGCAACACAACTGTAAATCTGAGAGTGGGAAGAGAAAAGAAAAAGCAAAAAATGATTTGTGTGGTCCGTATGAGTTCCGAATACGAAATAGTCGAGAACTTATGAGAAGCTATTAATTAATAACTATTTTCCACTTTGTCATTTACCTCTATCCTGCTTTAGCCTCGTTCTCTCCAATTAATAGTGATTATTCTACAAATTGCGAGATATATGTGTGTATATATATATCGTCATGAAAATTTATAATATTCATTCAGTATGTATTTATATATAGCCGTTTCTGTTTTATATTTTACTCTAGCCTAGGATTTTATTTCATTCATATATTTTTTCTAACGTGTTTAGTGATTTTTATTATAATATTTTTTTTTCTATTTACAAAATATATTGAATACACACTATTTTCTTTCTCTCTCTCTCTCTCTCTCGCTCTCTCTCTTTCTCTCTCTCTCTCTCTCTCTCTCTCTCTCATTTTCTCTCGCTCTTTCTCCATCATTTAGAAACTTGAAAGGAGGAAAAAATATTCGTGCCCTAGCTTGAGATACTTGAAAATTTACTTCGACTAATTTTAATATATAATCTACAATACAGCCAAATTCAACAAATTTCTGCCAAGGTGCAATGCAGTTCATTTTCTTTCAAATAGACTTGCAAGATAAATCTACAACCATAAAAAGGAAGGAGAGAAAATTTAACGACAACTTTAATATTGTAAAATAACATTTTCCATTAAAACGAATTGAAAATCCCTTTGAAATGCATGATGTTTCAAGCATTCTATTAACAATTAAAGAAAAAATTGCTTTATATGAAACATAATTGTTGGGCAGACATTGAGGTAAACAGATTTTTACATTTTACCGGCAACAATATTTGTGTTAAAAATACTAAACTTATTAAAAATGTCTATTGTAAATTTCATTTATGTAAAACAGATTGTTTTTCAAACATATATAAATTTCCAAAAAAAAAAAATGCCCTGCTTATTGATAAAACAGGAGAGCTTAAAATTCAATAAGAAAATTTGTTTTCCCTTCATAAATTCATAAATTAACGAACAAATCTGTATAAAATTCGTTGTCATGGCCAAAAAGAAGGAAATTGGGCAGAGGGGTAGACCTAAAATTGCAATTGAGCAATATAAAACTTCTTATACCTAAGTTGGCCAAATGAGAAGAAGAAATTAATAATAGTAAGAGAGCCATTAAATAACCGTGAGATGCATTGATCCTTGGCAGAGATCTAAAAACAGTCGATAAGTACTTTCGGAAATATCGGAAACATTTTACATTTCACCTACATATTATTGGGTATTTTTTTTCCTTTTTTTTTTGTTTTTACCAAAACTGGTAATTACTAACAAAAAATAATCGCATGCGTTCCCTCTCTTTTCATGTAGTTTTTTTAAACGCACGATGGCACTTCTTATGTACTTTTACAAATTTTTCCATTTTATCTATACGTCTTGTAATACAGGGGATATTCTATGCATCAAAAAAGTACCTCGAACCTTCAAAAAACTCTACTGAGGCTTGAAACATCACTATAATTCATATAAAAAAAATGTTTTCTCTCTCCTTTTACCGGATAACAGGGAGTTATTTATACTACGCATTTTTCCATCGTGATTTTACGTCGTAAGTTGGCGACATTTTTAACTGACAAATTGTTCGAAAATTGGAAAAAAATGCAGCCCCTGTTATCTCCTCAATTATTTAAAGTAATTACTCTCTTATTGCTTCACCAGTTATTTGCAAGAAAAAAAAACAACTATGTCTATGGTATTTTTTTGCGATTATTCCCTTCAACGTAGATGTTCTGTGCAATATTCTCCTTAGTATATGTCACTTATATAGTATATATATATTTAGAGCATAACTCAAGTATATAAACTCTGATATTTCCCTCTATATTCATCTTTTCCTCATTAATTAATTTTATATTCTCTGAATGATTATGCACTTGTGCATCCTTATTCGCAGGCGACAATCCAACCATTATACTGATTTTCATTATTTTTAGCACATTTTTTTAACAATATGTAACAATAGCATAGGTCTTCTATGTAAATTGTCCCCGAGCGAGTTAATCTACGGATATCAGTTCGTAAGCCAAAACTTCATTGGAAAAAGAATATTAGTTAATTTTCACAGATGAATTTCATGTAATTTACATGGAACAATCATTTTACTTTCCCCTCTTTACCTGATTATGAAAAAATATATTCTGAAATATAAACATTAATTACTTTCACTTATGTAAGTGAGTATTTCTTCGTAAAGCTGAATTGGTTTTCCAAAGCCTTGGAATATAGTTCCCTCGATTTGTTCAACGTGTACTTTAGAACACAATTTTGTTGAACACATTCTTTTTACATTCTCCTAACCGTTTTTTTTTCATATATGCCGAAAAGTATCAAACACCGATTATAACCGTATGTATAGATAATAATTAATCGTTTAACTGATGACCGTATATTAACACGCCTTTGAATATTCTTCCCCAACTTGTTATTGCCTACATATTCCTATGTTATTCCAATTACTTCACGTTATTCTTTACATATTCAAATTGCACTGACATTCCATCGATTATATTAGAAGAAATAAAACTTATTCTCCGGGAAAAAAATGTACATTAAACGTAATTAATGTTCGATTATCCTCAGCTTGATAAATTCATTCTATATCGAATTAACACTGTTTTTTAATCAAAGGATTATGATGTACTCTTGTTGTGGAGCAAGGGGATTCGATGTATCACAGTTGGCACATGGGCGCTAGCTGCCACTACTGCTCACAGGCAGTGACAGTGGAGCTCCCATTGACGTTGTAGGAGCCGTCAAAGGTCCTGAAATTATTCAAAATTCTTCACCCACTCTCTCAATCCCATCCTAATCCCATCCCAATCCCATCCCAATCCCATCCCAATCCCATCTCTCAATCTCATCCCAACACTATCTTCCGATGGATTATTCTCATTATTAAAAAACCATGTCAACGTTAAAATACGTAATTACACTCACCAGTAACATTCGGTGATGGCTCCGCCATAAGCAAGGGACTAACTAAATTGCTTGCACTCATTGGCGTAGCACAATTGGCCTTCAATTTTTGTCGTACTTCTCTGATTTTCAATTGTAAACTCATTTTATTTGGAAAAATGTCCGAGTGTTTAGCTTGAAACGATGAAGTGGCCTGTGTCGATGGAAAATATCCATGATCCTGGAATAATTGCATAACTAATTGTCTACGCTGCTCGAGAACCTTTCGAGGTCCTCGCTCATTATCATTTCTCCCTACTCCTACTCCGCTGCCACCACCACCCGGAGTCTTTGGTGTTCTGGGCGAACTAGCTTCATCACCACCAATATCAGCATTTATTTTGAATGCATCGACGTTGAAGTCTGGACCAAAGAATGTGTTTCCCGTCAATTTAACACTGGCTGACGATTTCGGCGTTGCAGAAACGTCACAGTCTCCATCTTCCTCATTAAGTGTAGATCTGTGAAGTCCTTGAGTACTTTTCTTTTTATACCCCTGAAGAGATGATGGAAGATTGGGGGGATGAAGTCCAGCTGTGCCTGGAGTATGAACCGACGAGCCCACTGGTGTATTCATACTTATTGCACTTGGGCTCTGTATATCCTCTGGTTTAAACTCAGGTAATGATGAAAATTTCTCTTCAAAATTAACTTGTTCAAGTACCCTGTCCATTCCATCTTCAACATTCTTTTTGAAAAACGATCCTTTCTTAGCCATTGGTGATGGCATTGCTTGAGCATCACCAACTTTAATTTGTTGCTGTTGCTGTAATTGTTGTTGGAATGGTTGCTGTTGCTGCTGTTGTTGTTGTGGCTGTTGTTCCACAATCGGTTGATTTGTTGATCCTCGAGTATCAAAGTGCTGAGAATTCGGTTGGTCTCCTGGATTGGATGTAGGAGGATATGCCAGTGATTGTCTTCTTTGGAGAGGTGCACGTCCAAGTTGAGCGGGGGTCGGTGCCAGCATAAACGGCCCCTTATTCTGGCCGATATCATTATTCCTCGGCTGAGAGTCTTCAGCCACAAAACTCGTAGAGTGATCACTATTCTGATTGGTACCGTGCGGCGTATGGGGCGTATGAGGAGTATGCGGAGTCGAGGGTTGCCTCACTTTATCTATCGTTGTGGGTAAAAGAACTCCTTCTTTACGCTCTTGCTCATAAAAATGAACATGATTCGTGGTGACAAGATTGTCTTTTTTCTCTGATTCAGCGAGTCTAGCGATAGAATGTCCAATTCCTCGATAACTTGGGGTGCTTGAAGAAGACGTTGCTACAGGATACGATTTCGTAACAATAACACTTGGAGTATCAACTTTGTTGCCAGCAACGAAGTTCTGTATGGTTATATTACGATTCCCAGTCTCTGCAATGCAAAAATATATACCATTACCACCTACATCCGCATCGTTAAAAATCAAATTATAAACGATGAAGATTCTCTTCAAGTGTAACTTACCAGAAATCGGTATGTGAAATCCTGGTATAAACATCCTCTGTTGTTGCGTATTTGTTCCAAGATACTGTGAGCCCTGCTGTTGTTTAGAAACAGCCACCAAATCATTATTGAGCAATGTAAGAGTGATCGGAGGTTGAAAAGGAACGGCTGATGATTGGGTACGATGGACAGTTGAAGACTGCATTGGCTGCTGCTTCAACAGTGCCATCATTGGCTTCGTTCCAATCTGTTAGAGATATTACAAATTTTTTTCTCTTCCCTTTTTTTTCGTTGGTATGCTAATTACGACTATAAGTTTATGGTGAAATGATGAAACGTACTCGATGACGTTGGATGTGTAGTTTTTAATTTTTTATGAAGTCAGTGGCCAACTCAGTATAAACAACATTTGTACAATAGATTTGTTTACGCTTCATCACTCACTCTTCGCATGCATATATACATGTCTCGGAACATGTAAATTAATTTCCGCAAGTACTAAATGCTCGTGGCATGCATTTTGGCAAATGAATGGATAAAACAAATGGATGAATTATAATGTAGGGTGGAAATAGGTGAAATTATTGAATTTACTCACCGAATGCAAGACAGATGCAGCTGTAAATTTGGGCACACTCCTTCCATTTTCAGTGTGTATATTAGCAACAAGATTATTAACACAGTACTGGGTACTGTACTGTTGATCTCCCTTGACTGGTTCTGGTTTAACAACTTTGGGTGATATTGGCATAGTGATGAATGCCCCTCCTTTCGGTTGAAATCCGGAAACTCCAGTGGGATTGACGGGACTGTGATAAGGATAAGTTGAGAGCACCGATACAGTGCCACCTTTGTCAATAGACGCATGATGATAGCTCGTCGTTGTTTCGATACCTGTCGACGGGAGCGATGCTGTAGACATACAGTGGATAATTTTTCTTTACATGCAGAAATAAAAATGAAAAAAAGCTCAAAAAATTCCAACGCTCAATGATGGAACATCTGTTACAGATTAATTCTCATAATATTGTGATTGACATTTGTACCTTTTATTGGCTTGGGCCGACAGGTAACCTCGGATTTAACTCCCTGAGATTTTCCACTGCTGACAGGTGAAAATCTCCTTCCAAAATTTTTTTCATCTCCCTCTTTATCCTGTCCATCATTATCACTGTCTGCTGGTTTATCTTTCACTTTTGACTCGCTCTCTGGCTGCGGATCCTCACATATCACCATTTGTTGTTCGTCATCAGAGGCATTACCGTCATCTTCCTGTTTAACGGATGACGACTCAGTGGTATCCATTGGTTGAGGCTCCAGAAGTCGATGAGATGAATGCGGTTGACTCACAGTCTATAAAATGGAAATGAGTATTGTTACCGGTTCTAATGCATCGGTTCTCTATTCATTCCATTATTTATGGAATAAATGGATTTAAGAGTGAGCCTGGAACTAGGAACATATGGAAGCGTGAATTGAAAAAAATAGATGATTATACCTCAGTACTTGGGATATCACTGTAGATTGCTGTTACTGGTATATAAATTTCATCAGATGTACGAGGCGTTAGCAGAATGTCCTCACTGGGTGGTCCCATATCCGTCTCTTCTCCCGTACTATTTAGTTTTCCTCTTGGCTCATTGCCTTTGAAACTCGTTGTCGATGATTTCCTCCTGTCTTTACTGCACCACTTCCAGTCTGGATGTGCTTTAAAATGCGCCTCTTTCACTTCAGACGCTAAATCATGATATTTCTGTTTCTCCTCAGCACCCAATGCATACCACCATTCACCGAGAATCTTTGACACTGTACGATTGTCCTGATTTGGATGTCTCTGGTGTACAACTGCTCGATGACGTTTTGAAAATATCATAAAAGCGTTCATTGGTCGACGAATACGGTCCTTTGTCTGTAAAACAGGCGGTTTCTTTTCAGCTTGCTGCGTGGTGGCAAATAACAGTAAATAATTAAACAGGAACTAATTGATTATCAAAGACAAAAGAATGTCGGTCAAAAATTGAATCAAGCACCAAGTTTCCAAATATAATCTTCAACAAATTTCTTTACGAATTAAAAGTTAATTGCATTATAAAGAAAAAATGTCAAAAAAAAACTTAACACTCAAATTATAATAACATTCCTGTATAATTCATTGCCGATTTATCTAGATCATTTTTTAAATGGATTTCTATGAATAGCTCGCCTCCGAAGCTATTAACAGAATTATTTGTAATTAATTGTGATGAATAAATACCTTTAGTGGACTCTGTGGATCTTTGGTGTGCAATGAGCTGAGTGATTGACTTCGACGTTTATTTGAATTAGCCTCGACCTCAGCAGGTGTAGTTGGTTCAGTCTCGAAAACATCATCATCTTCCTCGTCAGCTGGTGTAATGGGATCCGGGCCAGGGCCAATTGGCTCATCTCCGGGATTCCCAATGCTCAGTGGTATCGGGGGTGCACTCAATGGTGGACTCAGTGCTGATGGTGGTGGACTCACTTCTGGTTGATCTAGTACTGTCGTCTGCCAGGAAAAAGCTGCAATGAAATTAATTTTTTGTGTTAGTTACGATGAATGTGGTTAGTAGCGTGTGGCAATGGAAGAGGAGAAGGACAAAAAAAAATTGAAGAACCATTTGGTTGTATTCTCTTCTAGTCATTAAGGAGATGAGCATTGGAAGAAGAGAAGAGAAGAAAAAAATTTTCTTCATTCCTGGAGAATATAATGGTGTTAGTGTATTGTTAGTAGGAATATTTTTTGTTATCAGTGAGGATGAAAAGTATGAAAATGAATTCTGAATCTGTTTGTATTTGCAAATTTCCCATTATAAATTTGCCATTCAGTTCATTTACAGAATTGAGGAATTATGAGGAAAAAAGGTGAGAAGTGAATAAAGATTGGTCGTCATAATCCTATGAATGTTCAATCATATCTACAGATAAGTAACTAAATGAAGACAAACGAAGATGAAAGGGGTCAAGCGAGGATGTCAACTGGAAGACTGGTGCACATGGTATGACCAGGGGAATTTACATGGAAGAGTGTCTTGGAAAAGATCATGAATGCATTTATATCCGTATACCACCAGCATAACAAAGCCTGCAACAAGCACCAGTATGGATATTCTCAATTTCTATTATACATCGGATTCAAACCTTTCTTCCAGTTGCGCATTGAATTGTTGAGCAATTGCGGGGGATGGGGCTGGTATAGAGGTGAAACATCGTGGCAGCCATCTGTGAAACCCTTACCATTTAGTCATAAAAACTTAATGAAAAAAAAGCGATGCTATCATTATGCGATAAGTCGACCAAATAATTCAATTCGATTTCAGCAACATAGTTTTCAATACAGGAGAATTATTAAATAAATGGTTAGCTAGCATGTCTAGCTGAGAGTACGGAATACAATTTTAACGTAAAATCAGTTTTATAAAACACGTGAAATCTATCTAATCACATAAATGATGTATCTAATAAATCACTAAAATAAGAAAATATACTCACAAACAACTCCATTGGGTTTGCCATTGCCATCCTCCCTCAATGGTAATGTCTTTGGTACTTGAGACAAATGGCTCGGCTGAACGATCACATGCTGGAAGACACTCGTAGGTGTTAAGGTGTTTGTTACTGCCGTTGCAGTAGACATTACGGCGCTTGTAGAGAGTGGGTGGTGTTGTTGTTGTTGCTGTTTTTGCAGTTGGTGTTGCTGTTGTGGTTGTTGCAATGAGGTTCTCTGGAGCCCCGAATGAGATGATATGTGAAGCCCCATGTTTGCAGACTAAAAATAAGAAAATACAAAAAAATCAAATGACAATTGTCGGGAATAATATTCATTAATGATTTTCAGAAAATCGAGAATTGATTTCATTGAGAGTATTGCAACATGAATTCAATGAAAAATATAGGTGCGAAAAAGTGATAAGTTCTATAAGATTAAAAGAGACACGAGTGAAGAATTGAGTAATATGAAAGTGAGGCAATGGATTAAAAAACAAAGCCTCGATTCATTTGATTGCACGAGTTGTCTCACCTGTGGTATTATCGCCATTTTTTCCACATGCCCAACAGCAACGCTAGACTGCACCTGTGATTGGCATGCACTTCCTGCAAGCGTTTGCATTTGTCCTAGATGATTCAACATGCCCTGTCTGTATTTATCCTCTTGACTGTCGACATGCCCAGATGATGGCACGTCAATGCCATTTTTTATCACTAAATATTTTTTATCGTGTTGAGGCACCTGAGACATCTGAGTGAGTTGCTGTGACTGTTGCTGAATCTGCGTTTGCATAACATAAATCGGTTGACCCTGAGGCTGTGCATAGTCAACGGGCAGTTCCTGAGTTTTGAGGCTCAAATTTTGAGGAGGCGGAGCAGCTAAAGGGACATGAGGTGAATGGGGTGGCTTCAATAGTTGCTGATTTTGTTCAGGTATATCGGTATGAGTGGCAAAACCATTGTTTGAGGTAAGTGCATGCTGGAGAATGATGCCCTGTTGCTGCTGCTGTTGGTGTTGTTGTTGTTGTTGCTGCTGCTGTTGCTGTTGCTGTTGCTGCTGTTGTTGTTGTTGTTGTTGTTGCTGCTGCTGCTGTTGTTGTTGTTGTTGTTGTTGCTGCTGCTGCTGTTGTTGTTGTTGTTGTTGTTGTTGCTGCTGCTGCTGAGCCATGGATGTTACAACAGAAGGATGTCGTGGCGGTGGGCTCTGTTCAGACCACGATAGTGTTAAATTCTGAGTTGGCATGCTCCTTCCAACTGGGGATATACGTATAACACTTGTTCCAATGCTGGCTGGTGCCGGTACAGTTGGTGCTGGTCTACTCGGTCTGACCATGCGATTTGGTTCGGGCTTAATAACTTGTTGATATTGCACAGTAAAATGTGATTGAGTTGGTGAGTGTTTCCACTTAGTACCTGGGGATATAAGGGAGGCTGCGTGGTGGGCTGCTGGAGTGGATATTGGCATGAAAACATTATTCTGATTTAATCCGAGGGGTGGTACTGGAGATTGACTGATGCAGGGAGAAATAGATGAATGGGCAGTTGGTGAGGAGTAGGCTGGTGTTGCTGAGCGTGAGCTACCCAGAGATACAAGCATATTAGCGGCTTCTGTTTCTTCCTGATCGAATCGGCCTGTCATACGTCGATCACCGTAATTTGGTGAGGTATCTGAATCACGAGATGTCTCTTCACCGCCACCGTGAGATGTACTCGTTGGGCCCCGTAACTCTGAACCCTTGAGTGACAGATGACGGGAGCAATAGCCACGTCTCTGACTCTCCTTGGAACAGCCCTTTTTACTGCACAATCTTCGCCATTGTTTTCCATTGAATTTTTTCCTAATTCCATTGGGCGTTACCACTACATCACCCTTTTTGTATTTGTGTGGCGTCGCCGCCTGAGATCTGGGTGTGGCCGCCTGTGAACGTGGAGTTATACTACGTTGTTCCATCAAGCTACTGTTGCTTCCCCGGCTCTGTATACTACTGCGTTTACTGCTCCCTGCATCGGATGGAAATGTTATGTCTTCCCTATCAAGATCGTCGTCACTCTCGAGATCGTCATAAGGTCGATTTCCATTGCTCAGGGTTGTGTTAGCAGAGTGCCCGGGTGTACCAACTGTCATAAGGGGACTCGTACCAGTCGTACGATAATAACCACCAGAATCATTGTGGGAGGACAAATGGGGCGGATGGTGAAGTGGATGAATGGAACCAACTACTGATGCTTCAACCGAATTTCTGAATGCATGATCTAAAAAATTACAAAAACCACAATATTATGTTACACAAAATGTTATAAATTAACAAGGAAATTATGAAAGCAATGAAAATCAGCAATGAGCTCACCAATAGCAGGATCAATTCTCATAGACTCGGATTCTCCAAATCCCTCCTCGAGTTCATCCCACCAGGGTGGCCTGAACAGTCTCAAATCTGCTCTTTTCACGACAAAACTCTCACTCTGCTCCTCATCACGTTGAAATTTAACAACAAAACGATGAGGTCCAGTCAATATGTTGCACACACTCCCCTTAACAAATACATTAGTCATAGTATCTAAACCACTATTTGTTGGACACCGAATGCACACTGTCGCATCCAATTTAACTTGACCGATGGAAGGGCTAGCATCAGCAATAATATCGGATTTACCAGCACCAAGTACATCGTTATATCTCACTAATTTACCTTCACCATCAAATTCAATGTAAACATCACCATGAACAGCGTTTCGAATAACACCAGGATAATAACGCGTGTCTCTTAAAGCTAATACGCGGTGGTTCTGCCACTCGCTGAGATCAATCGTAATTGTTGAAGGTCTTGGACGTTGACGTGGTGGCTCATCACGCAATGAATAGTCAACTGCTGTGCTTTGAGGTGGTGGCTGAACAACAACACTCTGGACAACTGAGTAACACTCTGTTACCATTGGTTTAATTTGCTGATGATTTGGTGAGTGATGTGGCGAGTGTTGTTGTTGCTGCTGCTGCTGCTGCTGCTGTGTCATTGCCAATGGTGGATGTAAATGATGGCTTCCAGACGTCGACTGTACTTGTGGCAATGTTTGATGTAAATTTATCATAGTTCCAAAGTTACTGACGATGTTCCTCGGTTTCTCCATGTCCTCCAATTCGGACGGATCGAATTTTCTCTTCTTTGGAATTTTCTTGGCGTTCATCGTTGGATCTGATGGATCACGCTGGGGCGGTGGCGGGGGTGGCTGTGGCTGATCTGTTTTCTCATCCATTGTTGCACCACCACCACCGCCAACACTTACGTACTGAACTCCGCCAAGGTCATCACGTTTTTCATGCATCTCGGGATGTGCCGTCAGCATCTTTGCCACCTCACGCTGCTCTGCAAACAAAATTCCAAATATTTATTACTATTTACTATTTCCAGACAAACTTAGTTTTGTTAGGAATACATTCTATTCTGAAAATTGAAAATATCAACTATAATGATATCAAATATTTAAAAGATAAAAGAATAATTACTCGTGATTGGAAAAATCTACGAAGAAAAATTGGGAAAATATTATTGATAAGACACTTGATTAATAAATTTGATAGCACTTACAGTCCATACAGTCGCGAGGAGGCTGGAGACCGGTATTCGGCGATTTGATGGTGGTTTGGCAACGACTAGGTGCATACCTCAGCACCCGGCTGTCGGGAACGGGATGCGTAGAATCGGGACTCTTACTTCTCAGATTAATTTCAAATGTATCAACGACAATACCCTTGGCAACTCCCAGCTCCAAGTCTTCTCGCCAGTTCCAGCTGCCAAGCATCCTCCTCCAACGTTTCTACACGCGGTCCAACGACCACTGGACTCTTCTATTTACTCCACTTTCTGATGGATAACTCTGTTAACAAACACGTACATCGTAAGAAAATACTCAGTAAAACATTCAGATTGATTCTACCAATAGGTCAGTGGTATGAATTACGAATATGAATTTTATTCTGTGACAACGTGTTTTGCGCTATTTAAAATAGCGTCAATATCAGAAAAGACTGTAGACAATAGGAGAAGTAGAAGAGATAGAATTTAGAAGGGCCAAAACTCACACCAACCGAATAATTTAAATAGCCAAAGAAAGAAGATATTTTATTCCTTCCCCTTGTAGGTATTATCTCCCCCACAAATATAGCTTGACCTTCCGAGGTCTTGAAAATACTATCAGTGATCAAAAACTGTCCCCTGATCAGAAAACTCGTCTTTCACTTTATCATTGTTACCGGTATATCAATGACCGGTTCAATTAGTCTGCATTAAACACACGTACACTCACACAATGTTAAAAATCCCACTGATAATTTTTCATTTCAGCGTAAAACATTATCTCGAAAAAATAACAAGCTCAGGGGCTGTTAGTATAGAAAAAAAATTGTTGCAAAATAAATCTTGCTATCTTCTCCGTTTTTTTTATTACTATTCTTTCCGTTTAGGGCCCTATTCACAGGTAAGAAAGGATAATTGAAAGATTATTTGGATTGAGTTTGAAAGGTGAGAGTGAGTGATTGAAAGTGTATGGAAATGGTGAAGGAAGTGTGAAGAAAGTTTGAAGGAAATGTGAAGGAAGGTGTTCGATAATAAGTATGGATGATCTAGATGGCAGATATGGCAGATATGGTAGACAGATAGATTTTCAATGCTACGATCCCGGATTATGTGCCGTGGCTTGAGCCAGGATGTAGCCACGGGCGGAGAACGAATAACGAAGAAGTGCCACATTCACGCCGGTGGAGTACTTTGAAAAAAAAAAGTGAAACAATGAGCTAGCATCCCATGCGTTGTTGACACACATGCACGTATTTATATCCACTTTACACGAGCTCCACAATAGAATCAAATAAGAACAAATGAGGAATACTACGAGGGCCAAACTGAACTCAGGGTAAAATACAAGACAGAACGGGTAAAAAAATTCTGAACAATTATCAAACGCACACCGGTTGAGAGGCAACGAGCACGTGTTTTTTTTCTCTCTTCGAATGTACTTAAGATTTTTGCCTATATTTCAAATGACAAATCCAAAATAATAGTCTCTTTCCACACTGCAATCCATAGTGTAGTTATTACACATTTTTTTAGTAACTTATTGATGGTAGGGATTGCTTACTGTAACTCGCGTTGAGTCTAACTTGGTTTTTAATTGAGTTCGGAGGAGATAAAGGTTCCAGGACGAATAGTGAGCTGACACTGACGGCAACTGAGGAGACATTGGTTCCTCGTGGCGCAGGGGACAGAAGAGGCTCAAGAGGCTGGAGAGGCTCAGGGGGCAGGAAAACACAACACTGAAGTGAGAAAGAAAATAAATGAGGATGAGAGAGGGAAGCACCTTCGGGCAAACGAGCAACCTCCACTCGAATCAACCAACAAACCTCAGTCTCGTCTCTTTCACTCTGACTCAGCTCACCCACCAACCGCCTCAGCTATATATTCTGACGCTTCCATTCTCTCCCTCTCACATCTCATTCACTCACACTATTCTCCTCCTCTTTCCCCCCCATTGTGCCACATTTTTTCCATCTTCTTTCTCCTTCACGTCTACTGGGACGAAAAGCCCAGGTATATAGAACGTACTATGGGACTGGAACATGATGAAGATAGGGAGAGTAAAGAATTCAAAGTGGAAATTTTTTCTACTCTTTCTCCTTTCTCATTTGAATTATTTTTTGTTTATTATTATTATTTATAAAAATGAGAGAGCAAAATGATGAATAAGGACTCTTTGGAATTCCATGTATTCGTTTTGGAGTTGAACAGCAATTTTTATGGGATGTTTATCTCTGTTTTTCGAGTATTTCCCTGTCCTTTTTTTTTCTATCGCAGATTTATTTCTGGTTTGTGGTCTCCTGGCGGTTGGGGAATTTATTCGTACATTACTCGAAAATGTCTACCCAGCATAATTATAACAGTCGATATATTGAATTGCTGTATTTATTTTATATATTTTACAAATGGCCTGGCTGTCTGCCGGCAAACGTACAATTATGGGATGGACTGTCATTACACTTCTTCTTGCTTATTAATTAAGAGATGTTGGTAATCAACAATAAATTGATGTTAAACAATTTGCGCACTTTAATCACCCTATTTCGAATTCATTTCTAAGTTGATTATAGAGCCTATGAAGAGTTTGAGTTAAAGGGTTGTTGATAAAGAAAAAAAAGTGTTAAAACGCAGGTGTTGGGAGATGGAAAGCGATTTCGCTGAATAAAAGAGGTATAAATAGGGTAGTGGGGGACGAAAGTTTATCTCTTTTTTTCTCTCTCCCTTCAGTGGACACAATAACGAGTGTGGATATCAGAGAGACCCATCGTTCTCTCGAGCTGAAAATTTTACCTGCGAGCGCTATCGAAAATTCATTTGAACTCCCTATTCTGAGACCAAAAAACAGAAAAAACAATAACATTTAATCTCATTGTACTTGACATATAGGAAATTGAATAAACCTGGAATGTGCAGTATTTTAAACGTGTTTTCTCCAATTTTGAGTGCAAGAATCCGTGGGAGCGCATCGAGCTGTCACCTCCGCGCCCAAAAATATTTGAATTTTCATGAATGAAAAATTTCTACTATCCAATACACGAGTTTTATTGAAGAGTAATTTATTGGTGAATAGCAACGAATTGGAGGTTATTCAGTGGTGAGTGAATGGTGGTAAGTTGGGGAGAAAAATGTTGGAATATCCGGAAGGAGAAGACCATGGAGGAGAAAGGGAGTAAAGGTCACAGGAAAAATGTAGAATAAAGTGAGAAGCAGAGTGATACCTATACAGCCGCACCTGCGACTCTGCTAGCGTTGATTTCACCTTTAAACGGTCCTTAACAACTTGTAACCGATACCTGCGCCAGTACCAAGAGCACCCCAAGGCTTCCATACTAAGATATTCTGTGTGAATAGAGAGGAGACCCCCCCTCGACAAGGAAAAAAGGATAGTTGCGCCAATATTTTATTGCACTTCTGGCTTCAGCCTCAACCGAATATCCAGAGACAGCGAAACAAGGGGACTCTTAACTCTTGGCCTCCACTTGTGGGCGTTTGGGAGTATTCCCAAGAATTCACTTGAAGAAGAGAATTATCTCAAATAGTTCAACTCTCTTCTCTACCTTGAGATAATGTTGGATGTCTCAAAATATTGGATAAACCGATGTCTTATCTCGCAGATGGGAATAAGCAAAATTACTGTTGCAAAAAATTTGAAAAGTCCAAACATTTGAGGTCGGGAAACGAATGGATGAATTTGAGATAACATAGCCGAGCAAAAAACGTCACTAAAGATATCCTGCCATATATACAGATATATATATATTTTAATTTATCCTGGTCACTTCCAAGTACTGAATTGGTATTGAAAACAGTCAACATGAGTTCTCAAGGAAATTTAATGGACTTGCACTGAACAAGTAAATAACATCTATGTAATCAATTTGTAACGTCAGTAGAAGAATGGTATACACTGAAATGTCACAAATTTATTGTTGAACGATTGAAGTGTATTCTCTAACGTGGCCATAAACTAAGAATATGGAAGAATAATAACCATAAAGATTTTTCCCCAAGTATGCATAATACGCAAACAAGGGAGAGGACTAAACCTGGAAGGCTCAGTAACTTGAATCAAAAGGATCACTCCCTCTATTCCCCCCATTGTAAAAATAAAAGATGAAGTGAGGGGTATTACTATGGCACCTCCCCGTCATTTGGACTGCCGTTAAAGGGAATTGATACCCCTGGAGGTACTTGGAGGCTTTGTGCACCTGCGTATTGAAAAGAAATGCCAAGTGAGGTATATTCCTGGGCTATTCCTCTCGGACCTTTACCAACATGTAACCGATACTTGATGCACCTGACTACTCGGGTATTCACTTGAATGCCGGGTTTGTCATCAATAGGAGAAAATGTTTCGCAGACCCAATGGGGGGTAATTTACCGGGGCCCTTGGCCCCACAATGCCACTCTTTTTGAAATGTAATATACACGGGATAAAGTGAGAGGATAATGCTTACGCGACAATTTTCTCCCCACGAAAAACAATAAATCAAAAATATTTATTGTCCTCTTGAAGGAACGTAGCCAGTCTGTAGTTTTAAAATGGCAAGTTCTGTCCGGGGTTCGTTGGCAATTCTTACTCTTGCTGTGGGAAAATGAGATGAAAAGCTCAAGTGGAGGGGCAAGGAGGTTGTGCACCTGCCATCGGGTCATTCCTCCTTTTTTCCCTTGATCTTTTATTTTAGGAGTAGGATTTCCTGAGACAAGGGCTCAGGGAAAAGAGATCCTTTTACTACAGGGCGCTTCGGACGTAATTTGAGAAGCTAAATAGAGACAGACAGTGAGAGATAATCAATGGAGGGCCAAAGGGCGTGATTTTTTTTTCCCGAATACACCTGCTCAAAATTCAATTTTTCCCCGTATTGTTTTTCATTTTACCCCAGGAATTATGCAGTTCAGTCATATTTTCAAATATTTATAAATATCTGAGAACAGTTTTACTGATAAAAAAACTGATTGCTGCCGAGTGAATTTACTTTTGCCAATTTAGTTGGAGGATCTAAATCAATGTGAATATTTCCATTTGAAATGTCTCCATTTTCTTCAATTGATGCCTTCTAGAGGAATCATTGATAGGTGCGTAGCTATATATTTTCTAGTAAAAATTAATTTCCGGAATTATTAATAAAATTGATCGTAGAATAATTGCTCCCCAGACGTCTGGTAGAAACAATGCAACGCCATGACGTACTTCATGCCAAACTATTTTACTGTTCAATAGTTCTGACATGTTAGGTGTCGGTTTCTATTTTTACATTCTTTGCACAATAGAATGGTCGAGATCTTCGACGCGAATCAATGAAA